TAAAGGGAACCAGACGGGTGTTTCGGAGTCAGGCTCCTGCGTCTCAGGCCTCGCTCCTGCCCTTGGAGTCAGGGGGCTGTGGCAGCTTTTGGTTCCCTGCCTCGGGGCTCCGTGAGACCTCTGGGCGTTTGCAATCGCGTGCAACAAGACACATTGCTGCTGGATAATAGCTCTGTGTGCAGAGACTGTCTTGCAATGTGAAAAGGGCTTTAGTCTGGCATGAAATCACTTTAATCTGGAGGAGCATCTGCCCAGCGCCTCTGGTCTGGAGCGGCTATGGCACAGTGACGGAGTTGATCCAGAGCCGCCAACGACTCACCTACAATACTGTGCGGCAAAGCCAAGCTCTCGCTGCCCCATTGTGCCCCCTTTGCCCAGTTCAGCCTCCCTCCAGCGATGCTCCCGAGCCATCCCCGAGCTGCCCTGCAGTTGGGGCCTTAGTTGGACCCGTGCTTAGACCAGCTACGACAGCTTGGGATCAGCAGCAGCACCAGGAGCGTGTCCATCCCCTGCTCCTTCTAGGGGGGCCACCAAAGGAAGGCCCTTGCCCAAAGCCAGCCGTCGATCTCGTGCTGACCCTTAGCATCTCGACCCAGAGAGCAGGACCATGAATGGTCCGTTCCCTTTACGCCCCCTGACCTCTTTATGGCTCCCCAGGCGGGGTGGGCAGCGAGGCTCCTCGGCTCCTCTGCCAAAGTTTTTTGGCCTTGCTGTAGATCAGTCTTGAGAGCTGATGACCTATTTTTTTAGGATGTAGCCCTGGGGCCCCATCAGTTCTCAGCGACTTTCATCTCCCCCTTCCCCTAAACCTCTGGAGCTGGGCTGTGGTACAAACGCGAGTCTGAGGGCTCTGGCTCTGGGGCCAGGCTCAGTGGGTACTTAGAGATGATTTCTTGTCCCTAGTTCATAACTAATCAGCCAGGGGTTATGTGAGTTGCGTGAATGCAGTTAAAGGCTTTTTCTGGGGCCAAGCCATGGTATTTAAGAGCTATTACTTTGTTCCTAGTTGGCTGGTGGACTGGCTGTACCAGCACAATTTGGACTGTGTAATTTTGGCCTGGGATTCCTGCCCATTCCCCGCCCCATGCCTCCATGTGCTGCCCCTGACTGACTGGGGGACCAGATTGGAATAGGATCTGTGAGCTGATCCAGGTTAAAAAAAATGAGAAAAGGGCTATTTTTAACCCCGCTCAATTCCCTGCTGTGGTTAGCATGCTCTGCGCACAGCCGAGTCAGCACAGCTATTGCGGGGGTGAGACTGCCTTAAGAGCGAGCGTCTAAAGGGCCTTCTCAGGACATTTCATCCTTAAGCTCGTGCTGCCCAGTTGCTCCTTTACAAGGCCGGACACGCTCCTGCATCCACGTTTCCCATGCACTACAGCTTCGATAGCAGTGCTGCGCAACAGGCCCTGGGGCTGCTGTCCTGGGGGCTTGCTGTGCCGCTGCTCCGGGTGCGGACTGACTACGAGCCATCCAGGATGAGCCTGCTCTTGTGGGCAGGTTTTCCATTCCCGCTCTGTTGCTACATGTTGGCAGAGTGATTTGGTAGGGAGGCTGTGCTGGAGGCTTTCTCCTACAGGGAATTGGGCCTCCCGGCTAGCTGCTGAAAAGCCTCCGGCATGATGTGAGAAGCAGCGCTCTGCAGCCAGCCCTCCCCTGCGTGACACGGCATCAGTGGAGTCCTCGTGTAGTTTAGGCTGCCTCTTGCCTTGGGACAGGATGATCCCCCATCCAGGGATGTCCCAGGCTGGACAGTGATCTGGCTCGCAGCGTTAGAATGCGCCAGCACCCCTGGGCATGCAGGGATCAGTGAGGGAGTGCTATATTCAGCAGATTCGGGGCCTCCAGCCTGTTAGCCATGTCCACGCGTGATCAGTGGTAATTAGCCTTTGCTGCGTGCTGGGACTGCTGCTGCGGCGCCCTCTGAAAGCTCTGCCTTGGTCCTTATGTTGCTCTGCTTTGCCCAAGACCAATTCCTTGTATGCCTCCAGCGTCCTTCATTTACAGATGTTGCAACATCTGGAAATGAAAAAGGAGGAAAGGCCTTTGAGGATGCTGGAGGTCATCTCCCCCTGATAACCCTCTCTGCCGTCTGGCACCTGATGGCATGACCCAGTGCTGGCACAGGGCTGAGCACGGGCAAAGGACGTGCTCAGCCCCACGGTCCACGTGTGGGTGATGATCCTCGTCTCCCCCAAGAGGTTACAGAGCAAAGGGATGTGAGAGCCTGCTCCGGCGCAGGGAGGGCGGCGAGGGGTTTCTGCGTGGCTGGCAGGAGACCACCGTGGCACATGGAGTGCCCAGCACCGTGCCCTCAGCCATGGCCTGACTCTCTTGCAGTGAAGTACATGAAGGAGATCTCCCCGTATTTCAAGAACTCCTCCTCCGGGGCCACCGTCAGCTGGGACCCCTCTCCCTCCACCTCCCTCCAGAAACAAGCTTCCCCCATCCTCTCCCTGCGAGACCTCAAGGAAGGGAAGAACCTGCCTTTAAAAATGTGCTACGTGTCACGCAAGTGTCTCCCGAACGACCCGGAGCACAGGTATGGCAAATCAGCCAGGCCAGGCAGGGCTGGGGGGGCCCTTCCATGGCTGCAGCTGCCTCCTCTGCCCTGGGGCTGTCGGTCCTGCACAGGGGAGCGGGGTAGAGCCGGCCACCGGGGCCATGGGGGGGCCAGAGCTGCCCGCAGTGACCCAGCGGGGCTGTCCCTCTGCAGATACCTGGAAGTGTGCTCAGCCGATGGGCGCGTTCCCCTCTTCCTGCGGGCCAAGGACGAAGTGACGGCCCAGTCGTGGTTCAGCGCCATCCAGGCCAATGCCAACGCCCTGCTTCCCAAGGTCAAGGAGGAGCTGAGAGCCCAGCTGGCCGGTGCCGGTGTCGCGGGGAGTAAGGACATCAAGCATGTCGGCTGGCTCACGGAGCAGGTAACCCCATCGCTGGGGTCAACATGCCACCCTAGAGCAGCAACCGAGAGGGAGATGCTAAGATGCAGGGCTACAAGGTGGTGGGAAATGGCATGCGGGGGGCTAAGGCAAGCAGGCCCTCCTTGCCCCAGCCCCTCTCCCCGTCCCATGGGTCCAGCTGTGAGTCCAGCCACTGCTCCAGACTGTGGCCCACCTGGAACCATACAGTTGGGGCCAGGGGGCAGGGGGATGTGGAGCTGGCCAAGGCAGTCCCCCCAGCAGCTCCTGCCCTGGAAGGCTCCTGGATGGACCTTGATCTGTCCCGCTAACCCTTTCCTTCCCAGCTCCCCAGCGATGGGACGAGGAATGTCCTGGCCATCCTGACCGAAAAGGATCTCCTCTTCTACAACAGCCTCCCGCAGAACAGGGACGCCCTGAACAAGCCGACACACAACTACCCCCTCATAGCCACCAGGTAGGTGAGGCACGCGCTCGCCGCCTGCGGGCTGCATGTCACCTAGCTAGGGCCCAGGGCTGTCAGGGCCACGGGTGGCAGCAGGGCTGGCAGACTTGGAGAGTGGGGTGCTTACACCAGTGGGGTGTTTGCAGGGCCCAGAGTGGGGCTGGTGGTGCAAGGAGTGAGGCAAGCATCTCCAGAAGGAGTGCGTGGGTGTGCTGATGTGTGCATGAATGGGATATGTGTGTGTGTATGTGTGTGTGTGTGTGCGCAGTGTGGAGGGTGTGTAGGTGGCCGCAGTGGGTGGTTTTGGTGTATGTATAGTGCAGAGGGGTGTGTGTGTGCAGTTCAGC